TTTAACGTGTGAATTTTTCCAAAGCGCAGCGTCAGACCCCCAGTCACCCTCGTAAGTGTCCCTCCAACCTTCTGCCCACCAGAACCCTTGGAAACCAAAACCAAAATCATGTCTTCAGCAGACCTGGGTAATGTGAGGAGAGAATTCAACAGCAAACAGAGGTTGGTGGTTGTCTACAGAGGGAGGGATCTGGCAAGATCTTTAGAGCAAAACAGCCCAGGGAGTCGGAGGAGAGAGTGGAGTCCCGGGCGAGGCTGAGAGCTCCAGGCTCTCACCGTGGGAGGGACTGGGGGTGCTGCCTGGGGCGGGAGACAGCTGCCTGGCAAGGCCAACAGTCCCGAAACCTCTGGCCTCACAAATGGCAGAGCTGGGGACAGAGTGGGGCAGGGGTGAAGGGCGGGGAGTCTCTCTGGGCCTCCACCCACAAAGTACAACTCAACTACTACCACAACTCAACTCCCGCTGTCCCCATCTCCAGACACACCTGCCAGGCATCTGTCTCCCATATTTCTTTCAAGATCCACGGACTCTCTCCTAGCTCCTGCCAGCTTCCCTGGCATCCTGCCGCTAGCAAACAGTCCAGGAAAGACAATGGGCATTAACATTTTGAAAAGAAAAAGAAGAAAAAAAAAAGGCCAGAGTAAACTGTTACAACAGCACAACAGAAGAGCTGAGATTGTGTCTGACTAGCCTCAGTTTCTTGGAGTACCAGTGGAAGTAAACCCTCACGCCGCGTCTGTCGCTCGGTAAGGCACTAGGAGGGAAGGATGCAGTGTCAAGACTGCGCCAGCTAGGGTGGCGGCGCCGAGGGCCACCCGGAGAGGGCGGTGCGTGCACACCCACATGCGCTCGCTCACCCGCACACCTGCACCGCCACATTGGTTACATGCCTATGTTATATCGCTTTTTTTTTTTTGTGCAATTACATTGAGGAATATTCTATTGGTATCATTGGAGTTGAACACAAGGTAGGAGACAAGGGTGCTGAGTGCTACATTCTACTAGGGTGTCCGTGACGACCGCTAGCCCTACGCTATGCGACTAGGGGTGGATTCAAAGAGAAAATACATTTTCAGAAAAGAAAAAAACCTAAAGTTTGCAACACACATTATTAATGACATTTGAGGAACAACATTGCTTAGGGATTTATCCAGAGGGCTCAGAAAAAGAAAACCCGCCCTGCGCCCCGGAGGGCCTTCCAGCAGCCTGGACGCCCCCCATCTTTCCTGACTAGGGAGCCTGGACTTGGCTTTGCCAACCCCACACCAGCTCCAAACATCAGCCTCCCCAGGCTGCAGCCTGACGTTCTGGAGAGCTGTTGACCCTTTCGAGTTCTGGAAAAATCCCTAAATCTTATGTTCAATTAATTAAAAATCTATTTGATTTCCATATCAGGTGTCCCTGACAGCAAAGTCTTCCGTATCACTTGCTGTCATATGAAAATAATCTTTGAAAAGTTCATAAAGTTCTTCAAAAACTGGGGCCCCCGCTTCTGGAATCTTCCTGTTGCTCTCTTCTCCTTTCCAGTTTGGCGTAGAATGGGTTCTTGAGCTGTGTTTTTTGTTATTGACTTTTTTTTTTTCCTTTTTCTTTTTTAAAATAAAAACCATAGATTTCCCACCCTCTATAATCCCTTCCTCTTAAAAATGTTCTCTTCTCTGCTCTACGTCCTCCCACTTCCCGGTTCAAGTTTCACTGGTGTCCCGTCCCGTCCCCCTGCCCCCCGCCCCTGCCCCTTTTGCATTGTTTGTGTGCGGCATCTTCAGTATAAAAGGCCAGCGCCCACGGTCCCAGGAGCGCCTCCCTCCTTCTCCCCCTCCTCCCTCGGGCCATTCTCTCCCTCCCTCCCTCCCTCCCCTCCAGTGTTTATATGTAAGGGTACTGGTTGACCTTGGCGGGGCTCAGTGGGTATCCAGTGTAGACGGTGGAGGCTGGCGAGGCGCTGATGTAGGTCTGGTGGGCAAACTGGGCTGGATACTGACTCGGGTGGATGGTGGGTGAGGGCAGGACCCGGGGGCCCATGCTCACGGGGACCTGGTGGACGATGCTGGCTGGGTAGGCAGTGTGCTGCACGGTGTGGCGCGCCGAGCCTTGCGAGGCCACCAGGTGGGCCACGGTGCCGGTGGAACCCAGGGCCGCAGGCGCGGTGTAGGTGTAGAGGTGAGGCTGGGTGGGGAGGTGGGCGGCGGCGGCGGCTGCAGCCAGGTGGGGGTGGACAGTGCCGTGGCTGGGGCTGTTGTGCGGGAAGGAGTAGGGAGCCTGGGCCATGGTGGGAGTGATATAGGCCTGCTGCCGTCGGTGGCTCCCGGTGCGGTCCGCGGTGATGTGCTGCTGAGCCTGGGGAGGAGAGGCACCGAGAGAGACGTCAGGGGCTGACACATGGGGAGGAAGGAATGGGAGGAGGGGCAGGAGGGCAGGAAGGAGGAAGAGAAGGGAAAGACTCCAGAAGTGACAGAAAAGGCTTCCCTCTGTGTGTTGAGAAAGTAAAAATTTACTTGGGACTCAGCATGGTGGCTCATGCCTGTAATCCCAGCACTTTGGGATGCAGAGGTGGGCGGATCACCTGAGGTCAGGAGTTCGAGACCAGCCTGGCCAATATGGCGAAACCCCGTCTCTATTAAAATACAAAAAAATTAGCCGGGCATGGTGGCATGTGCCTTGCCTGTAGTCCCAGCTACTTGGTGGGCTGAGGCACGAGAATCACTTGAACCTGGGAGGTAGACATTGCAGTGAGCTGAGATCACGCGAGTGCACTCCAGCCTGGGTGACAGAGTGAGACTCTCTCTCAAAAAAAAAAAAAAAAAAAATCACTTGGACTGAGAAAGTCCTGACTTGGCCTGCCACTCACCAGGCTGGGGTGATACACGATAAAGCCAGCCACAAAGTTACAGGAGAAAATATTTCTCCCAAGGACACATAGAAGCTGTGGCATTATCAGGATGCCCCAGGTTGGAGTGCAGTGGCATGAACCTAGCTCACTGTAGCCTTGAACTCCTGGCCTCGAATGACCCCCCCGCCTTGGGCTGCCGAGAAGCTGGGACTACAGGAGTGAGCCACCGCACCCGGCCAGGACACACTCTTTGAGCAGCAACTGCTTTCTTACTCACTGTAAAATCTTGTTCTCAAAATTGTTGGCTCTCACAACATCTCTACAAAAAATTTTGAAAACTAGCTAGGTGTGGTGGCTCATGCCTGTAGTCTCAGCTACTTGGGAGGCTAAGGTGGGAGGATTACTTGAGTTCAGGAGGCAGAGGCTGCAGTGAGAGCCATGACTGTGCTATTGCACCTGAGCCTGGGTGACAGAAAAAGACCCTGTCGTAAAAAAAAAAAAAAAGAAAGGGTTGGCTCTCAGAGGCATCGCTGTTCGAAGTTCTGTCAGTCCAAATAAAATAGCCCTCTCCTACCTGGAGAACCTAAGTCACGTGACAGAGACACAGGCTCCACTGATGACCTGGGGCAGCACTTCAGATGAGAAGCTCTGAACACAAACACCCCATTTATCTCATCTTGTTTCTAGAGAAACAGGGGCCCTGAGTCCACCGTGTGAGTCAGGTCTGATGAAGAGCCCTTGACACAGCCCTGCGCCTGCAGAAACTCGGGTCACTCACATTTCACCTCAACCCACCCCGCTTCCTCCAGGTCCTGGGACAACTCTTACCTTCACTTGGGGGCTGTGGTGTGTGGGCCCTCCCTGCAATGAGTCGGATGCAGGTCTGTCCCTGGAGACCCAGGCTGACAGGGCTGGGACACAGTGCTCTACCCTTTGCTGGGCTGAAACAGCAATATGTGGGCCATCCTATTTTTAAGCTCCAGCACCATGTCACTAAGGGCTTTGTAACATTAGACAAGTTGCTTTGCTTTGGGCCAGCTCTCTGTACACCGGTGATATCAACTTCCCCCAGGGTGACCTGTGGTGGAAGAAGCCACCAGAGGTCACCAAGGGCATGTGCTGCCACCCGTGGCCAGGACTGCAGTCCTGTGAGGTGGGTGAGGGGCCGCCACAGTGATCCTCTCTGAAGCGGAAGGATGAGGGGATGGGGGCTCTGCCTGGCCTGGGGCGCCAGCCGTGGGACTTACCTGACTGAGATTGAGCGGCTGCTGCTGCTGGAAGTGGGGGCCTGGCCGCTGCTGCCGGTAGGTGATGGCTCCAGATGAGCTCCCTGAAGAGTGACCGCTGGTGGAGGTCACATTGCTGGAGGACTTGGACTTGTAGGAGGACGAGTGGTGACTGGTGTTGACTGTGGCAGGAGGAGAAAGAGGTCAGATGGGTGGCAGGGTCCCAGCTGCCCAGAAGATGCTACCCCACCAGAGAAAAGTGGCATTCCAGTAAGAAACATGTGCCTGACACCGGGCAGTCACAAATCAGCCTCATCTCCTCTGGACCCACTAGGACTTTGCCTTGACTCTGGATGTAGTAGGGCTCTGGCTCACTCCCTTGGCTGGGAGGGTGGACGGGGCTGCATGAGGGCATGAAGAAGGGAAAGTGGAAAAGAATCAGGAGAGGCAAGGTGGGCCAGCAGCCTGAGGCCAGGCCCAGTGCTGCTCCTCTGGGAGGTGTGACTTCCAGCATCTGGAAAATGGGTGGGAGAGATCTGCTATAATTTGAATGTGTTCCCTGAAGTTCTTGTGTTAGAAACTTAGTCTCCAATGCAAGTGTTTAGGGTGGGGCCAGTAAGGGATGTTAGCTTCTGAGGGCAAAGCCCTCACGAGTGTATGACTTATCAGTGCATTAACGTTGTTATCTCGGGAGTGGGTTAGCTATTGAGAGACTGGCTTTTTTGATGAAAACAAGTCTGGCCCCCTCACCCTCATGCTCTCTTGCCCTTCTGCCTCCTGTGCTGGGAAGATGCAGCACAAAGGTCCTCGCCAGATGCTGGCACCCTGTTCTTGGACTTCCAGCCTTCAGAATCGTGAGCCAAATAAATTTCTATTGATTATAAATTACTCAGTCTCAGGTACTCTGTTACAGCAATACAAAATAGACTAAGACAGGATCCCTGCTTGGTCCCCACTGTGGGTGACTATGAGTATCAGAGGAAACAGTGTCTGTGGTGGGACATAATGAACTACTAGAAGCTAAAATAACCCTCAGAGTCACCTGGTCTAGTTACCTGCCTCTAGGCAGGATGAGACTAAGTCATCCAGGAGTGGCCCTGTAAGCCAAACACAGCCAAGCACAAAATGGCTTCCATGTTATTGCCAAGGGGGCTGAAGAGTGGAAGAAACACTGCGACCCACCAGAGGTGACCTCAGGGTCAGCAGGTGGCTCCATCAACACTTCTCAAATGTAATTCCTGCATCTTGTTCAGTGCAGACTCTGGCCAGCAGCTCTGGGAGGCCTGAGCATCTGCATTTCTGACAAGCTCCCAGGGAGTGCCAGTGCTGCTAGGCAGTGGACCACGCTCTGAGTAGTCAGGGGCTCTGAGAGAGGCAGGTTGAACCCTGAGCTGGATGGCTTCCATGTTACCCAGCCAGAGAGCCACAGGAGCCTCTTCAGAGCCCAGTGGTTTTAACTCATCCAACAAGTATTTTCTGAGCTCCTGCTGTGTGCTAAGGACAGTGACTGTGTACCACCAGGGACGGGGGTGGCAGGGAGAATGCTGAAAGCGTGAATAAGGAGGAGGCATCACAGATCACGCAGATGAGGTAGCGAGGCCAGAGGATAAACCAGGTGAAGATGCTGACAGGCAGGGACAGCCCAAGTCCAGGGAGGCCACCAGAACAGGACAGGGCAGGACAGGGCATGAGTGTCCAGCCCAGCAGGGACAACAGCCCCATAGGGTGGGAGTTCTGCTGCTGAGTGGGGGTCATCTCCCCACCTCGGGTGGTGGAGCTCTGCAGGAAGGACCATTGCCCCTTGATAAAAGCAGAAGAGATGCTTTACCTCAGCTCTCCTCCAGAAGGGGGCCGCCTAACACACAATGCAGTATTAATACAGACCGAAGTGAAATTTCAAATCAAATGCACCCAGATCCACTGGCCATAGCCCTTCATTAAATGCAAGCACTTTTGTAATGGCAAAAGCAACAAACAGACCCAGACTGGTGAGAAGATAGGTGCGATCTCGGCTTACTGCAACCTCTGCCTCCCAGGTTCCAGCAATTATCCTGCCTCGGCCTCCCGAGTAGCTGGGATTACAGGCGCCCAGCACCACGTCTGGCTAATTTTTTTGTATTTTTAGTAGAGATGGGGTTTCGCCACATTGGCCAGGCTAGTCTCAAACTCCTGACCTCAGGTGATCCACCTGCCCTTGGCCTCCCAAAGTGCTGGGATTACAGGCATGAGCCACTGCTCCTGGCCGACACTGGGCTTCTTTAGGAGCAAACCTGCATAATAGCCTAGGAAAGTGCGGGAGGGAGAAAATTCCAGACACCTTTCTCTAACTTCAATGCCGATGGGAGCAGAAAAAGAGGGGTTTAGTAAGTGAAGGCTACGACAAAGCAGCCTGAAGACTGTGTGGTTTGTTTTGTATAGTTAGAAACCATAGTTACAACAAGCATTGCTCTGTTCCTTAAAAGCTAAAGAACAGTAGAGTTAATGGAGAAGAAAACATCTTCCAGGTGGAAAGACAGGCAGATGGTCCCCCACCAAGAAGGGGAGGGCAGACCAGGGAATGAACAAGAGTCTGGTGCTGGGGCTGGGGGCTGTCCCGCCTCCTTGGGCAACCAGTCCTGCTGAGGTGAGATGTGCACACAGACAATACTGATTCTTTTTTTGAGATGGAGTCTAGCTCTGTCTCCCAGGCTGGAGTACAGTGGTGTGATCCTGGCTCACTGCAACCTCTGCCTCCCAGGTTTAAATGATTCTCGTGCCTCAACCTCCCGAGTAGCTGGGATTACAGGCATGCACCACCACGCCCAGCTAATTGTTTTTTATTTTTTTGAGACAGTCTCGCTCTGTCGCCCAGGCTGGAGTATAGTGGCATGATTTCACTGCAGCCTCTGCCTCCCAGGTTCAAGCGATTCTCCTGCCTCAGCCTCCCAAGTAGCTAGGACTACAGGCGCCTATTGCCACACCCAGCTAATTTTTGTATTTTTAGTAGAGACGGGGTTTTACCATATTGGCCAGGCTGGTCTCGAACTCCTGACCTTGTGATCCGCCTGCCTCGGCCTCCCAAACTGCTGGGATTATAGGTGTGAGCCACCGCGCCCAGCTGTTAATTTTTGCATTTTTAGTAGAGACAGAGTTTGACCATGTTAGCCAGGCTGGTTGTGAACTCCTGACCTCAAGTGATTTGCCTGCCTCGGCCTCCCAAAGTGTTGGGATTATGGGCATGAGCCACCGTGCCCAGCCATGGTACTGATTTTTAGTCTAAGAACCAGACTGAGGAAGGCTTTCCCCAGGAAAAAGCGAGCACATTTTAAGACAGAAAGGTAATGAGTGACCTCCTTGCCACTGTCCTTTGTTGATCTGAGCGCTTTCTGTGTTGTATCTTGTACTCAGTTATTTTTCTTCATTAAGTTTCTGGAATGTGCTTGAAATATGTTTATTACCTTGACTTTCCATGGAGGACAGCTAAATTCCTTTTTTTATTTTGAGATGGAGTCTCGCTCTGTTGCTTAGGTTGGAGTGCAGTGGCGCAATCTCGGCTCATTGCAACCTCCGCCTCTTGGGTTCAAGTGATCCTCCAGCCTCAGCCTTCCAAGTAGCTGGGATTACAGGTGTGTGCCACCAAACCTGGCTAATTTTTGTATTTTTTAGTAGAGATGGGGTGTCACCATGTTGGCCAGGCTGGTCTCGAACTCCTGACCTCAGGTGATCTGCCCACTTGGCCTCCCAAAGTGCTGGGATTACAGGCGTGAGCCACCATGCTGAGCTGAGGACAGCTATATTGCTGTGATTTATATTTTCTGGAAACCTTGCTGTACTTTAGGATTACTGCCTGGTGACACTGAAAAGTGTAAGGAAGCCCTAGGAGAGGAAGAATGAAATAACTGAGTATGGGAAAGAGCTTTGGCCAGGGAATCCGGTCATCCGCCAAAATGCGGCACTGTTGTTCCACAGAGTCCCAACTCTAAAGCTGTTCATATTTGAGGAAGTTGCCCAAAGTAGGGGTGTTCAAAGGATGAATCAGGTAGAATGTTTCATATTAAAGGAGAGGCAGCAAGAACATATTGCAAGATGTCCGAAGACAGGTCTACACCCTATGTTCAGACGCAAGAATTCGGAGCATTCATTTTGGGGCCTGAGCATCTTTAGGTGAACCAGAAGGCTCACACCATCTCAGTGAAGTATCCTGTGGGTGGTTAGTGTAAAAGGAGAGAATCTGGTCATTCTTGGGGCAGAGAGTGCTAAATATTAATGAGGCCATGCATGGAAATGACCAGGCCCTTGACTGAATTCAGTTGGATCAATTCTATTACAAATCCCAGGGCGATGAAATCAAAGTCAAGGAGGAGATGCCTGAGGCTGAAGCCCAGCAAGAGAGAATGCTGATTAATTGTTGATTAAGAGAGAAATGTGCCTCTAGAGGTCTCAGCCTCTCAAGAAGGTCAAAGGAAAACCGGAAACCTGGGGACAGGAGATTCTGGTGCACACTGCAGGTGGAAGGGGGCCTTCCTGACCCCAAAACCCACAGAGCCCCCTGCTCTGAGTGAAGGGTGAGCTGCCTCAGTGGGGATAGGGGCAGTGGGTGCAACTCAGAGGCCGCAAATCCAACCGTGCATTAGCACCCGGGGCCCCTCCCACCCCATCTACTGAATCAGAATTCCCTGGGTAGATGCGGGAAATCCGGAATTGGTGTTCTTAGCAAGCTTCGCAGGACTCCAGAGCTGCCTGGCCCTGGCTGAACAGACCTGCATTTGGGAATCAGGGCCTTGCGACCCAACACTGTGCCCAAGCCAAACCCGGTAGCCTCAAAGGTCCCCCAAAACCTGGCGGATGGAGGGATTTTTGTGGACTCCATGTAGAAAAAAAAATAGAAAGCTGCAAACACTGGCTCTGCAGAGCCTGCTTCTCACCTTCCGTAGCCACACTGCTACTTTGCTGGGGGAAGCCCCATTCCTGCTCTGCAGCGGGTCGCTGGGCCCTGCTGCGCATGTCACCTACTTCTTCTATTCCGACTTCCTGGGCATTTTGTGGTAATGATATTTGAGGGAGAAACACTGAGCTCGAGGGATCAGCGAAGGGGTCAGGGACTGTTAGATGAAATGGGCGTGATGCAACCCTGATGCTACCGTCAGCATGGGGACAGGAGATGGGGCTTGGCTCAGAGCTTGCCAAGCTCTCAGAGGACGAGAGCCCCGAGTAAGGGAGGACGTCCTGAAGGGGACCAAGAGATTAAAGTATAACAGTAACTCCTCCTGTGGCGATGGACAAAGCGACAATGGGCTAATGCTGAAGGTCAACCTCCTAATGTGCACTTTGGAACAGTGAGGAAACATTCTATAGAGTTTTCCAGTCACGCCTTGTCCAGCTACTCTCCGTGATCCCCTGTCCTGAGAACAGCTACAGTGGCCTTGTCTGCACTAGGTGAGTTGGGGGGCGGGTTGCTCACAGCACAGATAAGCTCCAGGGCCAGACCTCTGGGAGGCCCAGCCACATGGCTCTGGGAAGGCTGGTCAACCCCTCTGTGCCTCCATTTTTAACCTGGGAAACTGGGAAAATCATGGCAGCTCCAGGTAGGGCAGTGATGAGGATTAAATGAGTTAACAGGTGTAGAATGCTTAGTATCTGGCATCTAAGGGCTTAAGTATTGAGTATCTGGCATTTAAGTTTTTAGCTACTGTTGGTGTCATTATTGAACTGTGTCTCCTGGTTAAAGCTGAGGCTCAAAAAATAGGTGTCTTGGCCAGGCGTGGTGGTTCACGCCTGTAATCCCAGCACTTTGGGAGGCCAAGGCGGGTGAACTGCCTGAGCTCAGGAGTTTGAGACCAGCCTGGCTAACACGGTGAAACCCCATCTCTACTGAAATACAAAAAGTTAGCCGGGCGTGGTGGTGCATGCCTGTTAATCCCAGCTATTTGGGAGGCTGAGACAGCAGAATTGCGTGAACCCGGGAGGCAGAGGTTGCAGTTAGCCGAGATTGTGCCATTGCACTCCAGCCTGGGTGACAGAGCGAGACTCCTCTCCGAAAAACAAAAAACAAAAAACAGGTGTCTCTCCAAGCTGGGACAATCAATTCTGGTCTCCTGGAAATGGGACCCTGGGAGCCTGGGAGCTGCTGGCTGTGAGTCGGGTGAAGGCAGCTTCAGAGAGCAGGCATCTGGCCCCCAGGGCTCAGGTCCCAGGGATTCTGGCTCCTGCCCTGCCTGGGACTTAGTTGTTGAACTTCCCCTTAGCCCTGCATCCTTCCAATAAGTTGTTTTTCTTAAGCCAGTGTAGAGTTCATTCTGTTGCTTCCAAAAGAAACTTCACTAACCCCAACCTGAGAAGGACTGAAAGGCTGAGAGCCACAGGAGGGGCTGAGTATGGTGGAGAAACAGCAGCGCATATCCTGGCCTAAGAGGGCTGAGGGAGCCCTGAACTCTCCCATGCTCTGGGCGCTGCAGCTGGGGTAGCTGCTACTGGCTCTACCTTGGCCTGTGTGCATCACTGCACCCCAGGGAGCTGAGGAAGGCTGCTTTCCTGACTTTCCCAAGCCTAGGATGGTTCTGCAGCTAAAGGTGTGTATGAGTACTGAACGCCACTGGCTGGGGAAAGGCAGGCACCAGACGAGGAATGCCCCTGCTCGCGAGGGCACGGCAGCTCCCGCATATGGAATGAGTTCAGTCTGCAGCTTCGAGGTTTGCACAAACATATATTTAAGGAACTTAAATGATACAAGACAAATGCTATCCTTTGCAAATCTTTAAACTTAAAAATGTGTGCTGCATATAGCTTTAAACAATATTTAAAGGATAGCTGAGCTGAAAAGTGTGCAGCTCTCTCTAAGGAATCCTGGCTCCTGGTGCGAATGACTTCGGGTGCCTCCCAGGGCCCTTTGGTTACTGCTAGAGAATGTTGCTTCCTGGTAGGGTTTCCACCAAAATATTTGCCTGGGGGGAAAAAGATGGTTTTTGGAGAGAGATGTCCTTGTAGCCTTGTGGAAGGGACAGCTTCATTTTCTTTTCCTCACAGAGTGCCTAATTTTGGGAGGGCTCCAGCCTGTTCTCTGTCCTCAGGTCACCAGACCCTAGCAGTAAGTATGGTCTGGCCCCTGTCAACCAGAATGCTCGCCCTGTCATGTGACTGCTGTGACTCCATTTTTCCCGAAGGTAAGGTCTCCTCCTTCCGAGAGAGCACAGTGTGAGCTGCGTGCTGCTTGTGTGTCTTTCTCGTGGAGCAGCCAGGACACTGTGGGCACCACGACCCCCTGCCCCCAGGCCCACAGGAACGCTGGCTCTGACGTCAAAGCTGCTTGGAAGCTGCATCGTCACGATGGTACTGTTGGGGACAGACCAGGACTTGAAAACGGAGCTGTTTTAGCAGGGTGCTGAGAAGCCGTGTTTCACAAGCATTTCTTCAGAGGAAAGGCAGCTGGGGTAACTCCAAAGTCAGGGAAAAAGAACTTCCGATACAAATGTCGGAAAGGGTGATGCTGCCTTGGGTTGGGAAGTGGACGGCGGGGAGCATGAGCCTGCAGCTGTCACCATCTCCCCTTCAGGCAGAGCCTCTCAGCAAAAGGGGCCCCATCCAGGCAATGCCACGAGCTCTTGGGAGAGCGTCCCAGGGCGCTGACCCTCACCGTGCAGGCTGGCCTGAGGCACTGGGCTGGAAAAGTCCTAATGACCCCATCCTGCCTCCACTCTTCACCCGCAGTGGCAGCCCCTGAATGGGGCCTGTGCCCACTGGGCCTTACATGTGGTCACCACCCAGGAAGAGTTCCCAGTTCCTGTAGCCACCTTCGGTGTCAGACGTGAGGTCCTCCTGAGAAGTAACAGCTGCTCCCATCTAGACAAAAGCTTCTTGGCGTTCCCTTTCCTTCCCTTTTCCGTTGCGCCATCACGCAGGTGCAGGCTGGCTTGGGTGCGGTTCGTGGCGGAACTAGCGGGAGGCGCAGATTTCTTCTGGTTTAGTCTCCACATTATTCCACTGTGAGCATGAGCAAGGGAAATGCTAAATAGATGCTACAAAATCTACGGTGAGCCGCTGAGTTTATTCAGAAGGTTATGTTCTCAGCCTTTATTCCAGGGCCCAATTTTCAGGACAAGCCTTCGCGGGACAGGAGGAGTCCCCTGAAGAGAGCAGCGCGTGAGCAGAGAAACACGCACGGCTTGGTCTCGCTGCCCGGCAGCTGATTCCAAGGAGGGGCTGGGAGGGGCTGATTTCACCCTTCCCCAGCAAGACTCGGAGGAGGTTCTTCCTACACAAGAAGCCCACCTGACCACCAGGGCTTCCTGGAAGGGAGTGGTGCTAGATGTCAGCCAGAAACTCCCCCGACCAGGTATTCTTCCAGGCTCGGGCATAAAGAACCAGGAGGCTTTTATTTTCTATCAATCAACCTAGTTGGAAGCAGAGCCATTGTAAAGGCAGAGAGGTATTGATCACAGAATTAAAGAAGGAAACGCTGCTTATACAATGTGCTGTTAAGCAGAAGCCTCCCCTGGCTACTTCAATAACATCCTCGGTAAGGATCGCCTGCAGTCACTGGCTGGACACTTTCTATTGTACTAGCTCCCATACAGCAACATTTCTAGCAGCAGAAAAACAGGAAAACCGCTCTCCAGGGAGATGTTCCTGTCCTGTCCTGGCCCCAAATTACCTGGCACCAGGCTATCACACTCCACCAATACTTCGCTGGCCTGGGTTTTCAGGGGTGGCACGATGATGGTTCGGGGGTTCCCCGTGCAGTGATTCTCCAGGCTCCCCTTGGTGTCAAAGGCGTTGGCGTTGTTGTGCCCGGTGCGCTGCTGCACGGAGTAGGGGCTGGTGTTGCTGGAGGAGTCGGAGTAGGGGGAGTCGTGGACCGTGACACAGCTGATGACGTTTTTTCTTTGCTTGGAGACAGTGCTGAAAATGCAAAGGGAGAAGTTAGAGGTGGGAGAAGGCCATGCGGTGAGACACCCAACTAGCATTTCGTGCCCTGGGGCAGGGGAGGGAGGCAGAGGAGAGAGGGCAGGAACAGGGCTTTTGCTCGCCCTAACCCCCTGGGGAGGCTGGGCATGCAAATGTCCGCTGTGTAGCCGGCAGCAGGGGGACATGTGAAGACATGGAGAAGGGGGTGGTGCTGGACCCACAGGTGCTTCTGGAGACTAGGGAGTGTGAGGCTTCTGGGCTGGCCTGGGCTCTTCCTGCGCAGCAGAGCTCAGCAGAGCGGCAGGGGAGGCACCTGCAGCCCAGAGCTGTGTACAACCCCCGTGGGCCCACCAGAATGGAACATCTGAGCAAGGAGAGAACCAGCAAGAACCCAGCAACCTGGGGACCTGGGTTAGGAGTCAACCTTGCTGGGAGAAGAATGTCATAAGTTTAGGTTTGGTGCCTGTGGCCTGGCAAAGCTTATGCAGGAGGGAGCAGAATGTCCAAGGAATGGGATGCAGTGTGAGGCTCTGAGGAGGCTGCACCCACACAGCACAGTGCAGACGTGCCGTGGAGAATGCAGAGCTGGAGTTGACACCCTCTGCCTCTCCTTGCTCTGAGTGTGCTCTGTGGGCTGTGTGCAGGCCACTAGGACCTCTGCATTTCCCTTTTCAGGAGCCAGGCCCACCTATGGCTTTTCCACTGCCTGGGCAAGGATCGGGGGAGATGGTACTGCACTGGGGTCTGGTGGGAAGGCCCCTGCCACGTTGATGCTGTGTGAAAGCCACTCTGACACCCTGGCCTTCATCTTACATATGGAACTTCATACAATAGGGAGGCACTGGCTTTGGATGGCTCTTGGCCAGCATGTTTGTTCAGAGATGTTTAAGTTAGTGTGGTTACTTTGGGAACTACTTCTGTCTGTCTTCAAACTCAGTGAGAGGCTGCTGGCACGATGGATGTGAAATTTATTGTCTATTGTGTGCTTATATAAGGCTTTAAAAATGAATGTGCATCTATTTTTATATATTGATCATTTATTTTTAAGAAATGAAAATTGCCTAGGCAAGCTGGTCAGTTTCCAGCTAACTGGATGAGAGAAGCCGCTGGTATTTATAGAGCCTCATAGAGTCACAGCCACCTCCGGGTATACTGCTTGAGGCCACACAGCCAGGTCAGGCTCTTCCCATGATGGATCTCCACCACCCTAGGGGCAGCAGGGAAGTGGCCAAGTTCCAGAGCCCACAGCAGCCAGGCAGGAGGGACAGAAGAACAGAGCCCTGCTGCTGTGCTACAGAAGGCTGGGGGAGCTGTGAGGTGCAGTCCCCAGGAGGCGCTGGCCCTGCTCCCCAAAGCCCAGTGCTCCTGACATCTAGACTGGATAATTCTTCCAGTGGCTGGACACTGTCCTCTCTGGTTCAGGGTGCCTAACCGTGTTTGTGGGTGAGAACATGAACCTTGCAGTCAGCTATCTAACGTCAACATGTGCTGCTGACAGGGTGGTGGGCAGCTATTTAACCTCTCAGTGATTCAGCGGCCTCATCAGTAAAAGGTAGGTAACAATTGGACCTATATCATAGGCTTGTTTTGATAATTAAGTGAGAAAGCACATGTGCTTTAAACGATACACAACACATGATAAGTATTCCATAATGGCTGCTATGATTCTTCTTCTTACAAGTTGTGTTACCTTATTTAACATGTGAAAACAGGTTTGCAAAAAACTTATCTAGGCAAAGAGAATTCTATCAGGGTGAGGACTTGCTCGAAAAGTTTCCTTTTTTCTAGTCTGTGAATAAACCAGAAGATTGAAAGGAAAGAAAATTAAAACTCATGATATCTTGGAGATCTATGTGGGGTACTACAGGGAATAGCTGCTATACAAAGAAATACGTGTCTCTGCCCTCGAGGAGATTAAAATCTCAGTGGAGGACTGTATAAAAACATGACAAGTTAAATAGTAAAAGCTTTAAAATAACCAGTTAGAGAGAATAATGGATGTCACAAAGCCTCCGTGATTAACTGTCAGATGAATCGTGCAGATGATAATTGTTAAGAACTCAAAAGAAGGTGACGAATGAATTGGTTGCATATATTTACGGCTCTTCACATTAACTTAAAGTAGATACATTTTAATTAATACAGACCCACACCTCCCAGTTATGACAGTTTAAATGTGAAATGTCCATATGCTTGTTCCTCAAAAAGCTAAACACAGAGTTACCATATAGCAATTCCATTCCTAAGTATGTACTTAAAGGATTGGAAACAGGTACTCAGATACAGGTAAGCCAATGTTCACTGCAGCACTATTCAAAATACCAAGAGGTGGAAACGACCCAAATGTCCATCGACTGGTGAATGGATAGAAAATGTGGTGTATCCATACAGTGGAATACTATTCAGTCATAAAAATGAATGAACGCTGGGAGGGGTGGATCATGCCTGTAATCTCAGTGCTTTGGGAGGCTGAGGTGGCAGGATTGCTTGAGGCCAGGAGATCAAGACCAGCCTGGGCAACACAGTAAGAACCCATCTCTACAAACAATTAAAAAAATAAGCGAGGTATGGTGGTGTGTGCCTGTAGTCCTAGCTGTTTGGGAGGCTGAGGTGGGAGCCCAGGAGTTTGAGGCTGCAGGGAGCTATGATCACACCACTGCACTCCAGCCTGGGTGACAGAGTGAGACTCTGTCTCCAAAAAAAAAAAAAGAAAAAAAAAAGTTCTGATACATGCTGCAATATGGATGAATCTTGAAAACATTAAATGAAATAAACCAGACACAAAAGGACAAATAGTTTGTTTGAGTCTACATATATGAAATATCTAGAATAGGCAAATTCATACAGACAGAAAATACATTAGAGGTTACCAGAGGTTGGGGGCTAGGGGAGAGGAGAGTGGGAAGTTATTGATTAATGGTATAGTTTTTGGTTGGGGCAATGGAAAAGTTCTGAAAATAGATAATGGTGATGACTATACAGCATTATGAGTATAATTAATATCACTGAATTTACACTTAAAAATGGTTGAAATGTCAAATTTGTTATATATATTTTACAATTAAAAATTAATAGCCTAAAACCACTGAATTGTGCACATTCAATGGGTGAACTGTACAGTATGGTACATGAATTACATCTCTATCAAAAACAAAGTCCAGGCCGGGTGAGGTGGCTCATGCCTGTAATCCCAGCACTTTGGGAGGCTGAGGCAGGTGGATCCCCTGGGGTCACAAGTTCGAGATCAGCCTGACCAACATGGTGAAACTCCGTCTCTACTAAAAATACCAAAAATTAGCCAGATGTGGTGGCAGGTGCCTGTAATCCTAGCTACTCAGAGGCTGAGGCAGGAGAATCACTTGAACCCAGGAGGCAGAGGTTGCAGTGAGTCAAGATTGTGCCATTGTACTCCAGCCTGGGCGACAGAGCAAGACTCTGTCTCACAAAAAAAAAAAAAGGCAAAAGAGATTGAGAGTCTTGGGCACTTTGCAGCTGTACATCAGGGCTCAGCAGAGACACCTAGAGAGTGGGAGGGCACTGACATCCAGTACAAGAATTACAAAGTGGGAGCTACGTGCGGTAGCTCACCCCTGTAATCCCAGCACTTTGGGAGGCCAAGGTGGGAGGACTGCTTGAAGCCAGAAATTTGAGACCTGCCTGGGCAACACAGTGAGATCCCATCTCTACAAAAATAAAAACATTAGCTAGGCATGGTGGTGTGCGCCTGTAAGTCCTAGCTGCTCAGGAGGCTGAGGCAGGAAGATGGCTTGAGCCCCGGAGTTTGAGGCTGCAGTGAGCTGTGGTCATGTCACTGCACTCCAGTGTGGGTGACAAAGAGACCCCCACTCTAAAAAAAAATTAAAAATAAAAATAATTAGGTACGGGGTGTCACACCTGTAATTAGCACTTTGGGAAGTCAAGGCAGGCAGATCATTTGAGGTCAGGAGTTTGAGACCAGCCTGGCCAACATGGTGAAACTTTGTCTCTACTAAAAATAAAAAATCTGCTGGGCATGGTGGCTCACACCTGTAATCCCAGAACTTTGGGAGGCCAAGGTGGGCGGATCACTTGAGGTCAGGAGTTCCAGACTAGCCTGGCCAACATGGCAAAACCCCGTTTCTACTAAAAATACAAAAATTAGCCAGGCGTGGCAGTGTGCACCTGTAATCCCAGCTACTAGGGAGGCTGAGACAGGAGAATCGCTTGAACACGGTAGGTGGAGGTTGCAGTGAGCGGAGATCGCACCACTACACTCCAGCCTGGGCGACAGTGAGACTCTGCCCACCACGCCCCGCCCCCGCAAAAAAAAAAAAAAAAAAAAAAATCCTGGGTGTGGTGGCACATGCCTGTAATCCTAGCTTCTTGGGAGGCTGAGGTGGGAGATTGCTTGAACCTGGGAGGTGAGGTTGTAGTGAGCTGAGATCACACCACTATACTCCAGCCTGGGAGACAGAGCCAGACTCCGTCTTAAAAAAAAAAAAAAAGATTGTTGTCTACCAATAACAACAAAAAACAGTATCTCAACATATTTTATAAATATAAACTAAGTAAAAAAAAAAAAAAAAAAAAAGAATTAGGAAGTGGGACTCCAGGAGGTCTCTGAGCTAGGAGGTAGGGAGGAGGGATCTGAGAGCAGGGAGACGCGGGAGGCTGAGGACAAGGAGGGAGCAGGAGGGAAGGAGAGCTGCCTTAACAAGACAAAGGCAGTGAAACCTGCAGCTGTCTTCTGGGATGAGTGGTGGGGAGCAATGGGAAACAACTGGTCTGCTGCAGTCTCTTGTGTAATAAGGGAACTCCTCCCACCCAGCACTGTTTCAAAGTGCTTGAGGGCCAGGGGAAGAGCTGGGAGCCATGACTGGGAGCAGCTGCTGGTTCCTGAGGGGAGGTGAGGAGGAGATGGCGCTGCCCTGCCCTTTACTCTTAGTTTCAGGCACAGCTACTCCTGAATGATGAACATGCCTCTGGTCATTTCACGAAACACAGACATGTTCTGT